ACAATACTCAGGGACCTGGGGCCGGACTCCTCATGAGCCGCCCCATGAAGGCCGTTACATGGCCGGGCCTAGGCAACGGCCCTCTCCTAGGGCCGTGCCCTAGGCCCGGTTGGCCCCAGCTCTAGCCGGCGGCCCTCCTGATGGGCCGCGGCTAGAGCTGCTACTCTAGTCTGGTGCGCACTGTGTGTGCACCAGATAGATCTTTCATCTGCAAAAACACATTCCAAGCATGTCCAAAACATCCAAAACATTATCAACACTTCAAAGACAAATACTAGATCACTTCCAAGCTCAAACACAGCAAAATTTCACCATTTCTACTCATTTCTACTCAATATAATAGGCTTCACAGAGCCAAAATCAAAGAGGGAGTCCATGGGGTTATACCTTTGTTGTCTCTTCTTCTTGTATGGATCCCCTCTTCCTCTCTACATAGCTAGATCCTCCTACACTCCCTAAACTCCTCAAACAAACCATACAAACAACATATAAGGGAGGAACCTCAGGGATTCAAGGCAAGGAGATGAAAACCATAAGAAGGAAGATGAATGGTGGCTAAGGGAACTTACTGTGTTTGTTTTATCCTTCCACAAATAGCTCAAAGAGAGGCAAAGAAATGGGATAAGGAGACAACATTAGAATAGTGAGGCTTATATAGGGTCCAAAACCCTAGGTTGATCATCAATGATTGGTTGAGGGCATAGGAGTAATTTTCATATGTTTGGAGATGAATCAGGAAGAAAATTTTGGATGTCTAGTGGTTCACCATGCTCCATGGACCAAGGCTAGAATTGCTATTTTAAATACTTTGGGGTTGAAAAGGAATTTTCTCAAAAAATTTTCTAGATGATCACTTGTTTAAAGCTTCTCAGAATTCTCCCGGTCTCACTCAGATTGGCTTCTCAATTTAAAACTTGATATGCAAGTTACCCGAAAATTTAGGATTTTGGATTAAAAAGGAATTTTGGTGTTGAATTAATTTAAAATGAGTCCAAAATAATTTATTCAAACACCACTTGATCGCAAAAATTTTTTAATGGAGTGAAAATGTGTATTTTGGAATTCTTTAAAATTGGATTTATAAAAATAAAATTTTGGGTTGTTACACTGGAAGCCGGTTTTGAAGGCTCCTAGTGCCTCTACACTAGCTCTCTGATTGTCATTCAATTGCGTCTGCACAGCTTGCATTTGCTCCTGCATTTCTGCAATTTGTCTTGCAGCTTCATCGTAGTCGCGGAGTGTATTAGTCATCGGTTCGGAAGCTCTGATACCAGATATAAAGGTTGCTAGAACGAAGACAAGAATGAAAGAAGTAAGAATTGTATTTCATCATCAGTCTTACAGTAGCAGTTATGATGCTTAAGTAGTTACAGGGAAGCTTTAACTAATAGGGGTACAATGGACATTTCTACTTCTAACTACCTAACTACTAATCGTACTACTAACTGCTTCAAACGCTGCGTTTTGGCCTGGGTTATTACAAAATCTGAAAACTCCCTCTCTAGCTCCTTCATTTCCCACTACAGAGCTGAGAGACTACAATCGGATCTTTGGTAGTTTAATTTTGGTTTCGAGCTCAGATAACTGAATCAGAGAAGCAGCGATGAACAACATCGAAGTAATCTTAGCAAGCTACGACACCTCCTCCAATCTACTCCGCCGTCATTGGCCGCCCGAGCCATCTCTACTGATTCTTCTCCCATTCTTGGGCAATCTTCCGTCCTCGCCAATCGTCTCTCGCCGCATAATCCCTCCCCCTTCAGCTACACTGCTGTCCGTAGTGCTCGCGTAATTGGGCTCGAGAAGAAGGCGTTCGTCATTGAGTGATTCGGGAAGTATGTGACGACATTGACTCTTGGAATCCACGTACTAATTCCGTTAGTAAACAAGATTGCGTATGTTCATTCCCTCAAGGAAGAGGTCATTCGCATTCCAGATCAGTCAGCCATTACCAAGGATGTCAGCATTCTTATTGATGGTATTCTCTATGTGAAGGTAGCTCTCCTTACAATGTATTGTGTGTTTAAAAGTTTAAACTATTGTATGCAAATTCCTATGTAGTTTTGGAAACATGTTTATAGTGTTTCTCTTGGGTTAATATATTGCAGATAGTTGATCCTAAACTGGCTTCATATGGAGTTGAGAATACATTGTATGCTGTGATTCAATTTGCTTAAACAACTATGCGTAGTGAGCTTGGTAAGATCACTCTGGACAAGACTTTTGGGGAAAGGGATACTCTAAATGAAAAAGATAGTACATAGAAATCTCAACAAATTGGTATCAGAGCACTGTTGAGATGGTCAGTTCAAGTTCAAAATTCGAGGTATCTAAGTTTGATGGTACATAGAAATCTCAACAAATTGGTATCAGAACACTGTTGAGATGGCCAGTTCAAGTTCAAAATTCGAGGTATCTAAGTTTGATGGTACATGAAATTCTCAACAAACTGGTATTAGAGCATTGTTGAGATGGTCAGTTCAAGTACAAAATTCGAGGTATCTAAATTTGATGATACATGAAAATCTCAACAAATTGGTATCAAAACACTCTTGAGATGGTCAGTCAAAGTACGAAATTCGAGTTATCTAAGTTTGATGGTACATGAAAATCTCAACAAATTGGTATTAAAGCACTGTTGAGATGGTCAGTTCAAATACAAAATTCAAGGTATCTAAGTTTGATGGTACATGAAAATCTCAACAAATTGGTATTAGAGCGCGATTGAGATGGTATCAAAGCACTGTTGGTATCTAGAGATTTGGAATATGAGTTTGTCTCATAATAAATGCAGTAGCAGATTGTTAGGGTTCTGGAATCTCGTGTTTTTACCAAGTGTTATGTATTTCATGTTGAGCATTCTTGACTACTTCCAATTCTAATGGGAAAAATATATATATATTTTTTCTCTTTGTGTCAACAAGGTGAAGCTGAGGCCATTATTGCCAAAGCACAAGTTACAACAAAAGAAATTGCTATGGTTTCTCAATCTCTCAAGGAATACGGGGGTTATGAGGTTAGACACTTTTGATTTTTGGTTTCAAGGATACCAATGGACATTTGATCTTAAACATAAAGATAAAGACCAGTATCTTATTAGAAATGTATAGGATTTGAAAGAGTGCATGTGGGTACAATATTAGAAACATCATTTTGTCTAATTTCTACTGAAAACTCGTGGCTTTTGGGCATTTTCCATGCAGCAAGTCTTAGAATTGCTGAGCAGCCTTCGGCAAAGTTGCAAAGGAAGTGAGGCACATAGATATATAGAGTGATTTTATTTTTATTATCCTTTGATTATTCACTATAGCCCTTATATATTGATGCATATTCTTCTTCAATTTAGGTCACAACATTGTTGCTTCCAACGAGTGCTTCTGATTACTCGACCATCTGATTATGTGTCCATCACCATATATTGATAATTCTGATTACGTGTCCATCACCATCAACCAGAGATATATATACAGAGTTGTTGCTTCAAAGAAGGCTAATCAACAAGTTCTACAACTACTTGAATTCTAGAAAACACTCTATATTATAAGTCTCTTTCTCTGGTTATTACTTCTTCTCAAGATTGAAAGTTCATGGTGATTTAAGAAGATGAACTTGAGAAGAAACAATTGTGCTTAAAACAGTGGACGCAAAGATCACGGAACTGTGGGAGACGGTGAAGGACTACTTCAGAGATAGATCTCCATTGAAGGGATTCCATGGACCTCTGAATGCGTGGATCTCCGTCTTCAACAATCCACTAAATTCTTGTAGACTGGGTGCTAACCTTGTGTAGATCACTTGGTGAGATTGTTTCTCTACCGTTGTACATTTGGATTTGTGGTTAGTGGATTGGACGCATCGGTGATCGTCCCCCAGATTTAGATACACACTGTATCGAACTGGGTAAACAAATCTTGTGTTGATTTACTTTTAGTTTTACTTTTTCTGCACTTTATCTTATCTTTTGGTTTATCTGTTTGAATATCTGAATACTGTCTATGTTACGACTGCGCATCAACTGTTCGATAAAAGTAGGTTAATATTGTGGGTTACGGATTCACACAAATTCACAAAATTCCTGTGTAATGTATTTCAAAATTCCTGTGTAAAATTCACAAATGGAGTAGCAGAATGTTAGGGTTCAAGAATCTCGTGTTTTTACCAAGTGCTATGTATTTCATGTTGAGCATTCTTGATTACTTACAATTCTAATTGGAATTTTTTTTTTCCCTTTGTGTCAACCAGGTGAAGCTGAGGCCATTCTTGCCAAAGCACAAGCTACAGCAAAAGAAATTGTTATTGTTTTTCAATTTCTCAAGGAACACAGGGGTTTTGAGGTTAGACTCTTTTGATTTTTTGTTTCAAGGATACAAATGGACATTTGATCTTGACCATAAAGATAAAGACCAATATGTTATTAGAAATGTACAGGATTTGGAAGAGTGCATGAAGATACAATAATTAGAAACATCATTCTGTCTAATTTCAACTGAAAACTCGTGGCTTTTGGACATTTTCCAGGCAACAAGTCTTAGAATTGCTGAGCAGTACATTCAAGCCTTCGGCAACGTCGCAAAGGAGGTGAGACACATAGATATATGGAGTGATTTCATTTTTGTTATCCTTTGATTATTCACTATGGCCCTTATAGATTAATGTATCTACTTCTTCAATTTAGGGCACAACACTATTGCTTCCAACGAGTGCTTCTGCTCCTGCCAGTATGATTGCTCAAGCTCTGAATATCTACAAAGGCTTAGTAACCAAGAATTCTAACAGTGAATCTACCGAGGTCTCAGCCAAACAGAATGTTTCAACTGGATTTTATATATATATATATATATATATATATATATATATATATATATATATATATATATATATATATATATATATATATTACTCGAGGACCAGAGCTCCACTACACCTATATCCAACGATGAAGATCAAGCAAGTGACTCTGTTTTCTTACTACAAACCCCCAAGCAAAAAGATTAAGCGTGTACCAAACCAAACTCATCACAGCACAGAACCTCCTTCCCTGGTTTATTATTTTGGCCAAATTTCTAGCCTTAGTATTCTTGTTAAGGTGAATGTGGATCAAAGATTGGCGATAGAATGAGTGTTCTTTTTGTAGTCATAAAACAAGAAAGCGTTTTGGCCCATCGTCACATCATACATCTCGCAGAAACATACTGGCCTTTTGCAATTACCCAAACCCCTTTCAGAGTTTCAAATTCACTTAATTGTAGTTGTCATCCAAATAATGTTTTCCTTCGAATTGAAAGAATAGTACTCTTTAATTGATCATATCACTACAAGAATGAAGACATTTAGTGACAAATTTTTTGTGACACTTATTCCATGGTGATCGCACAAGCTAAGGATAGAACTAGAAAGTAAATAAATAACTAACAATCCATCAAACTTAATTAAAACATAAGGGGGATAAACACACCCCGATGTCTACATCATCAAAACACATCAAAACATCATAAGTCTAGAATCCGGTAGATAAAATCATGAACAAAGCATAAAGAGTACTATTCTTTAAAGAGTACTATTCTTTAAAGAGTACTATCCGTCACAGTACCCTTTACAAGTCGTGTGGTATTCGATTAAGACTTCTAAAGAGTCTTTAAAAGTCATGTGATATTCAAAAAATTATGAACTTTTGTAGACTTTTTAATTTTAAAACTTTTGTAGATTTTTCCTTCTCAAATATAAATAGTTGAAATCCAACCATCAACCCCAAGATTTCAAAATTTTCTTTCTAACAACTTTGAATATTTTCTCTCTCTATTTAAACTCTATTTTTTCTCCATATTTAAACTTTATAAACATATCTAAATTCAATAAAATTATTTTTTTCTTCATTATCCTATATTTTTCTCATACCTAAACTCTACCAATTTTCTCTCTCTCCTACAATTTACCATCTTCATCTAAAAATTCAAAATAATATTATTTTTACTTCATTATTGCTTGTTTATATTGATTTTTATTTTTTCTATGAATTTTTTATCCCTAACTTTCTCTAATTCTCCCTAAATACATGAATAAAGCAAATTTTTTATTGTCAACTTTTAGTATATGTTTCATAATATTCGTAATATATATATATATATATATATATATATATATATATATATATATATATATATATATATATATATCAACATGTTACTACGAATAGAGAACTACTGTTTGCAACAATAATTTGGGGTTGCAAACAGTAGCACCTTGTTGTTGTTCGCAGTCTCTAATTGCTATTGTAAATAATATTTCTTTGCATGATGCCTAGCAATAAACGTATAATTCTTTATATATATTATTAATATTAGATTTTTATTTTTTTATTTCATGCAACTTGTAATTATATTTTTAAATACTTTATTTGATCAATTCTTTTATTATAAATTTTATTGTTCAATATTGTTATGAATTTTTAATGAAATAGTTTTTTTTTTGTTGATGTTTATTAATAATATATATAAGTAATTAGCATATAAATCTTAGCATACTATGGATAAAAATAACCAGGATTATGTGGTCTAATGGTACTTGGTTTGGACTTCCATTTGGAAGATTTTGAGTTCGAGCCTCAGTGGAGGAGTTATTGGTTTATATGAACAGAAAATTATACAATAAGAATTTTATGATGTTTTGTAAGAAAATTATATAAATGATAAGAAACAAAATCTTTGAAAGTTTGTAATGATGTATTCAATTTAGAATTTCAATGACTTTTGTAGACTTTTTAAAATAAAAAGTTCATAAAAGTCTATGAATGTTTGTTATATAGACTTTTATAAAGTTTTAAAAAGTTTTGAACGACTCTATGAAAGTCAATCAAAGTTTATTAAAATATATCATTTTAAAAGTCTTTAAAACTCTACAAAAGTCATGATTGAATACACCCCTCTTAGTAATTGTGACAACTTTTCAAAAGTCGTCACTACTACAATAGTGACTGAGGATATAGTGACGACATGTGACGACTTCAAAATTTGGTCACTTATATCAATAGTGACCAAAATCGATAGTTTTGGTGTCAACTTCTGTTATCACTAAATATGAAATTTCTTGTAGTGTATGTCACTTGCAGTTTCACTTTCTGTTGTCTTTAGGCCAAATAATTTGCATGCCATTAACCATGCATCTCTTTAAAAAAATAATTGTAATCCTTTAAACCAATAATATAAAGTTGTTTAAAAAAAAAAAATTGTACTATGATATCTCAGTAATATCACACATAATTGCATAAACAACTACGAGTGGTGCGAATGAATTAGAGTTGAATTTGGCCCTGTCTGAGCCTTTAAGTTACCATGATTTACATATTTCCAAATGCTCTGTTGGGTCGGATTGGGGATTCAACCTTCGAAGAAGTAAATTCGAATTGGATCTCACCCCGGCATCCTACCGGTTTTTCCTCATGGAATAGAATATGGAGATTGAAAGTTCCTCCCATGTGAAAATTTTTTCTATGGAGAGCTATGAGTAATGTGCTTCTCACTACGTCTAATTTAAATAATAGAATGGTAGAGGTTCCTCTTGCATGCCCTATGTGTGGTTCATCATGAGACTGTCATGCATTCTCTAGTTCTTTGTGATTAATCTAAGAATGTATGGAATATTTTCTGGATTAATGGTGCAGTGTATAGTGGGAGATGGGTTCGGTGGATGGTGGAGGCTGTCATGCGAAATGTTCATGAAACACATTTTGAGAAGATGGTGGCAATCATGCATGCGCTGTGGCTTCAACGCAATTCGGCCATGTGGGATTCGAAGTTGGCTATGACATACCGTGTCTGGGCGGCTACCTCTACTGCACCGTAAGCTTGGCAGTCGGCTAACGTGGCTCTGCCTATGGTCTCGCACACGCACGGTCAGTAGCAGCCAAGCGGGATGCAACCGGTGTGTGCCTTTGACGCGGGTTTCGTCTCCGGAAAGGGCACGTATGGGCTCATCTTGCCGGACGCCAACGGGGTTTTTATTGCAGCCAAGAACGGGCATCTATCGACTTGCCTGGGTCCGTTTATGGCTGAGACACTGGCTTGTAGGGAGGTTCTCTCTTGGTTTCGGGAGCGGGAAGTTACGGGTGTGACACTTTGTTCAGATTGTTCAAATCTATGTCAGATTCTGTCTTCGTCAACGACGATGATACGTTCGTATGATTTAGCTGTTTCAGCATGCATGGAATTGATGCGTTTATTTGATCTTGTTCTATTTCTTATGTTCCTCGCACATCTAATGTTTTAACACATTCATTAACTACGGCAGCTTTTTCACAGGCTAGCTCCTTGTCTTGAGAGACTATGCTCCTGACTTTAATTATTTCAGCTTTAATTGATTAAAATACGCACCACCATGCTTACTTTCAAAAAAAAAAAAAAAAAACAAAATCAAATCGGACCTAGCCTTGACATAATCAACAGATGATCTTTGATTGTTGAAACTGCCTGTCACGTAGCTGAAGCACCTAAGACTCTCCACCAAACAAAATTAAAAATTGTATACCATTATTTTCAAAAAATAATAATTTTATACCATTTTATTTACGGAGTATTTATTTATTGCCGTTTTCTGTAGTCCACGAGTCTGCAACTAACAAACTAAAATGAGGCCTCCACTTCCCTCTTCATGGCGACAATTATGCCGATCCTCAACTTCTCCTATCTCCTATGCCTATAAAACCTCTTCCACTCCCATTCTTTCAACTCAGCCTCGGATCACAAAAAAGCTCCAATAACAATAATAACAAACTAAGTTGGCATTCTCAATAAGGCTTCATTGTTTCCAGCTCCCATTCTCCATCGTCGTTGTCCACCATCCATCAGACATGGGAGCCTGTGCGAGCATGCCTAAGGATTTGAAAAAACAAGATGCCGCCATCCCCGAGGCCCCTGTCACCCCCAAAAAACCCGACGTCCCACTCATTCCCGAGGTACTTTTAATATTCGACATTCCCTTCTTAACTTATATTAATATTGTGCCCGACCACATCATATTTGTCATGTTAACCAATTGATTTAACTTATAATAATATTATTGGCATGCATGGTGTCTAAACAATGACGAAATTGCAGCAGGAGAATAAGGATATGGATGGAGAAGAAACAATGAAGGAAGAGCCTCTGGTAGATCTGTCGGAGCCAGCTCCAGAGGCTCCCAAGGCCGCCGCTGATGTTGTCCCGGAACCAACCTCAGAGCCGGCGGGGGAGGAGACACCTGTCGCCGCCATTCAGGAAGACAACGCTCCAAAGGTGGAGGAGAAGAAAGAAGCAGAAGCTGTAACTGAGGCCGCCGTCTAAGTGTCAACATTAACCGCTATATATATATATATAGTTTCACTTATTCTGTATTCCATCATGTGATCTTCTGAGGCTCAATGTAACAATAACCCCAAAAAAAAAAAAATTGATTAATAAAACAAAAAACAAAAAAAATCCCAAATTTCACCTGAACACTTCTTTGCAGATGTGGTTTTGCTTTATTTTACAGAACAAAACGACATTAACAGAACACATGAACCATGAATGATCATTATCATGTTTTTAAGTAACTCTGAAACTCCTATGTTGTTGGAGCCAGCCATGCAACAACGTAACGTAACTTAACTACTGAACTATGATGCAGTAAATTGAGTATATTTATTGTCCTCAGCTTTGTCGTCATCGTCATCATCCTTAACAGCTAACAATACAAGAATCACCAGAAGGGGATAGCTTATGGTAGTTAGTGCCCAATTTGCTATGAATTGGTTAAGGAATGATACCTTCTTTGTATCCACTTCCCAGGCCACTGCTGCCCCTGCACTCTGCACACCTTTGTAGAATCCAGCATACCTGAATGAGAATCAAAATCAGTGTTTAATTGACAACTTTTTAAAACACAATTATGGAACTTTATTACACCTTCAATTAAATATCCAATTATTCCATCTTATTGGTAATATTCATATTAATGCTTTGAATATCAATTAATTAACTGCCTTGATTTTTTGTTTTGTTTTGTTTTTTAATATTTGTTCCTATTATAGGGTCATCAATTCATCAATATTAGTAATTATTCAAATCCCACCCTACTAAGTTCTAAGTTGCATTCTTTTGGATGAAAAATCCATAACTACTATCCAATGGTGTCTGGTAATTTAGTTGGATTGTTTTGAGCAATTTGATTGGATTGTTTTGAGCCCAAGGACCAAATTAGTTAAAATTGTCCCAAAAATCCTACCAAACCAATAGTATGACTAATTTAGTTAGAACTGTCCCGAACCGTATCAATTTGTTTAGGTTGTCCTGAATTCTAAGTTACAGTTTGTTATCAATTTTTAGTTCAGACATAACTCATTATTTACCTGCTAAGGATTTCGGAATCATCTGCTAAGGCTCCGATGACCCAATAGACCATGCTTTGGAACATGGAATCAAGCAAGCCATAGCTGAAATACAACACAAATGGCCCTGCAAACTCCACCCCATCCTTGAAATCCAGCCTGTGTTCCGGCGGGTGTTCCCGGCTGTAATCAAGCTGTTTGGCTAGCCCTCCGCCCCAAATCGCCGTCCCCACGGCGGCGACAGTGGCAATCCCGACCACCCCTCTGGTTCTCCGCCTCTTGAAGCTCGAATCCATCACCAAACCAATCAAAACTGACCCGATCATCTGCGCGGCAAAGTAGAACACAGTGTTCAAACCCCGCGTTCTCAGGTTGAACAGAACCCCATTCACGTTGTTGAACTGGTACGTGTAGAAGAAATTGCTGGCCCATGAAGCAGGGAGGAGCAGAATCATCTCCCACTTCAAGAACAGCCGGAGAATCTCCCGGGATTCCACTGCCACGCTGGAGAATCTGATGTTCGTACACTTTGTGCCGTCGTCCCGGATTACGCGGCTGGGGTGAAGGATCGCCAGAGACAGGAGAGTTCCGGCGGACATGAAGGCCATGAATCCGATGTAAGTCCCGTCGTTCACTGAAGCGGCGTCGTTTCGACGGAAGTTCGATAAGAAAGGGATGAGTCCTCCGGTGACGCCGCCGAGGCTGAATATGTTCCAGAACAAGGAGATGTAGATTCCTTTCCGGCCGTGGGGTGGGTACGAGGTCATTATAGCCCCCTGGGCCGCCCACAATAGGCCGGCTCCGACGCCGAGGAGAGCGCCGGCGACGACGGCGAAGGCCTGGTGCTTGTGATGGTTGTAGTAGAGGAAAGAGCCGGCGTAGAGGACGTAGGTGGAGCAGCCGGCGGAGAGGGTGGCTCGCGGCCCCAAGATGTTGTAGATTCCGCCGCCTAGGATCCCGAAGACGGCGAAGGTGGTGTAGAGGGCGGTGTTGGCGTTGTTGACGGCGGTGGTGTCCACCTGTCCGCCACCGCCCATTGACACGAGCGCGCTGAACATTCCCGGACAGCAAAAACAGACCAGCCCAATCAAGGAAACCTGAACCACCGGCGAGTTGTACCTCAAAACCCAGCTTTTGCTTACTGGCTCCTCCGGCGGCCATGGCCCTTTGCCGCCCTTCTCTTCATCTTTCTCGGGTTCCATTTCTCAGATCACCTGTAACTCTTACGCTCCCAAAATCCTTGAAATTATTTATTACCACAAATGAACAAAATAATACACACATATTGCTTATGAGAAATGGATAATTCACAACCGCAGAGCAAAATGGTGAAAACTGAAAAGTCATTCTGATTGCAGGCTTTGAGACAACGACATGTACTAAAGTTGGGTTCTTGTTCAAGTCAACATTGCTTATGTCGTTATGTCGGGTCTCGCTCTCTCTCTGTCTCCCGCAAGTTGCTTCATGCGTGATGCACTATCCAAACAATCCAGCCGGCTGTCCCGCCACGAGCACTAAATCTTCCGGAATGAACCATATTTTTTGTATGCATTAGGAGTCTTTTATTGTCTCATCCAATGTCTTTTATGATAAGGCCTAGGGAAATAGTAGTTGGAGGTATCATAACAGCAAGCTAATTTGTTAGGTTTATTTGTGAGTTTCAAGTATGATTAGGAAAGAGAAAATGAGATTGAGTGGAAAAATAAAAGAATAAAAATAATTTTTGAAAATAATTTTTTTTTAAAGTACAAGTGAACACGCCTAGATGGACTATACGCGCCTCGCTGGGCACGTGACGTGGGCCAAATGCGCAACTAGGCATTATTTGTTTTCTATTTCTCTCTCCTGCATGACACGCAACAAAATTTGGATCTTGCAAGAGAAAAAACATCACAAAAACCACTTTCTCTATTTGTGTACAAACCATTGTTGGTTTTTTTTGCCCGGCAAAAACCACTAATGTAGTTGCTTTAAGGGGTGTTCAAGGCAGATGGATTTGGCAATTTCACTATGGTGTGAAGGCTAACAACTGAGCTTTGGGTAATTTATAATGATCTATTTTTGTGTTGAAATAATCGATTTAGATCTGTTGGGCGGAGTCTGGTATAGGCAGTGTTGCAAAAATTGCGCCTAGGCGCTAGGCGGTCGGCCTCCTAGGCGCTTTAGGCGCCCACCTAGGTGTTCTAGGCGCCCGCCTAGGCGCTCTAGGCGGTCCCCAGGCGCCTAGTGATTTTTTCAACATTGGGTATAGGCCAATACTAGCACCAGGTGGCTAAGTGATTGTTGGGTAGAGGTCTGCAAAGGGCTTAGGGCGAGCCAAGTCCAGTACCCAATGTCTCGAACAATGTGATGGTGATCTATTAATAAGGAAATAAAGTTGCTCATTTGTTACTAGTTATAACTTTTGACATAAGTGGTAAGCACTTGATCATAACAAGTGGTATCAGAGTTGTTCTAGCTTTTGGTGTAACTGGTAAGTGTTTGTTCCTAACAAGATCAATGAAGTTTAAAATGAATTATTTTATTGGAAATCAAAAGTATGGGATAGAAAGGGTGTCCATGCTTCATTCTCCCTCCTAAGTAGTTATTTATGATGTGACGTATATATTGAGATTGTCTTGTTAAACACATTTATAAAGAAGCAAATAGATGTGCATACAGAATAAGTTTGACTCTTTTCAACTTAGGTAAGTGATACTATAAAATTGTTTGACCTAAATTTATGTAACTTTTTTAAAAAGATTCTGTCTCGTATGTCAATTTTTTTTAAAATATATTAATTGAAAAATAGCTTAACTTTTCAAATTAAGCTTGCTTTCCATTTCTTACTACCTCACATTATTTTATGTTTATATTAAAATCATTACTTACTATTAGCCATATCCTGAAACTTCAAGGGACAAAATTGTAAATAAATTCACACAATATTGGATCTGAATATGGATCTTGCTGGATACCAACCGAACCGGACCCGTTTACAGCATATCTGCTAAAATTGGGCTTCAATTTCAGCCCAATAAGGCCCGTTAGAAAGCCCACCATGGAGAAATTGACGTGGAACGACCACTTTTAACCACTGGATACGGAGATAAAGATATTATCATTTCTCCCGCGTTTCTGCAATTCCCTGCGCTGGTGATGCGGTTAAATGCAGAATGCTAATCTCACTCTCTGTGCTCGGCAGCTGCTCCGCCGCCGTCACCGCCTCAACTTTCTCCGTATCAGCCAGCAAGGGTGTTTTTCACTGCAGGAGTACTCATCGGAAGTCGCTCCGGTTCGAGGTTCGAGCCTTCCTCCAGAAATCCCCGTCTTCACTCTCCGATCAACCGTCCGTGGTTCTCGACAGTCTCCGAATCCTCGAGTGGGACAAGGTCTGCGATGCCGTCGCCTCCTTCGCCGGCACTTCACTTGGCAAGGAAGCCACCAAGGTCGGATATATAAATACTTATGCACAGATGTTTACGCTTGTATATATGAATATATGATTAGCAATTTCGTGAAAGTAATTGTTGATTGTTCTCTCTAGGAACAATTGTGGAATTTGAGTCGAACATACGAAGACAGTCTTACACTGTTACAGGAAACCAGTGCTGCTTTGGAAATGCATAAATACGGTGCAATGATGGAGTTTACTGGACTTGATATCGAGCTGGTAGCTTCAGTTTCTTATACACTATGTCTTATCATCGTGGTTTCTTTGAAGTAATGTATATTCGATTGATTATAAATCACAAAAGAGCAGTTGGAAATGTACAGTTTCTAATGCTGTAAGCCTGTAATGAAATTTTGTTAAGTGTGCACAATGTATGCTAAATTATTGTGCGGCTTATTGTTGCTGAAGGTGAAACTTGCTATACAATGTGCACGTAGGGATTCTCCTGTCAGTGGGAGTGAGGCCATTGCTCTTGCAGCTCTGTTACAGTTTGCTGAAGATTTACAGTCAAATGTTAAATCTGCAATTAAACAAGATGCAGATTGGTATCAGCGCTTCATGCCTCTTACTGAAGTGGTAGTGTACAGTTCATTTACAGTGACATTTTACTTGGACATTGACCACTTATGTGTTTATGGATATCCAGTCATCTTATATTGTGCTTGCAGATTGTAGAACTTGAGATAAGCCGATCATTAGTGAGCTTCATACAACAATTGGTTGATGAAGATGGCTCTGTTAAGGATTCTGCGGTGTGTTCTCTTCATAGCATTAAACTTTTTTTTTGCCTTGTCTTTTGGACACTAGACTGTCTCAATGCTCTTCAGCTTGCATCAACTAATATCCTAGTACTTTCTAAGTAGCTACCATACATCTTGTTTTATTCACATTAACACTTCCTGTTTTAGAGCTCTACTTTGAGACAATCCCGTGATCAAGTTCGTTTTCTTGAAAGAAAGGTACACTTTCATGTTCCTCTCCCTTCAATACTAGAATTGTGCTCTTGAATAGTTGATATCATTAGATTTATGTAACTATTCAATCTCTTTGCTTCAATTTCAATGCATGGTTTTAGTTGATTCATGGATTACCAGAGATTATAATATCTCTTAGCTATGGACATATAGGGTGCGTTAGTAAATTGGAGAAATGATCCATTTATCTGGAGAAATAGATAATAATAATACATTATACTTTGGAAGTTGGAGAAATTTCCATTTTTCTACATTTTGGATGACCCATTTCATAAGTTCTCCAATTTAAAGAAATGGAAATCAGCTTGACGTGTCTACAGTAGGTCTCTCCATTGATCCTTGGCAACAGCATTCAGCTTCCTTTTCCTTTTTTTTTTTGGTTTTTTTTTTGGAACAATTTCAACACCATTTCATTTTTGCATTTTCTAACTTTTTTTTTCTTCTGTGTTTTCAACCTTTATTTTTATAGTTTTCAGGCTTTCAACTTTCTTCTTCTTCTTCTTCTTTTTTCCCCTCATTTTCAACTTTCTTTTTTCCCCTTTTGTTTTTTGTTTTGTTTTTTTTTTGTTTTGTTTTTTTGTTTTTTTTTTTTTTTGCGGTTTTAGCTTCTTTTTTAAAAATTGATTTTGGAAAATTGGAGAAATAAGAAACTAGAGAAATGATGTAAATGGGCCCATAATATTTCTCATGAGTTGGATGATATTTTTTATGTAATGATTATTCATTGCTGGATTTAATTTTTATGTGCTCCCAGTAGCGATGTTGTAATCAAAATTGACTTTTATTTTGGAGGCCTGTTCCACATTTCCTATGTTTACTATACTATCTAATATCTGTTTAATCCTCTTCTCCATTCAGTTGTACCAGTTGATGGAGGCCTTGATTAGGAATGAAACAAGGGAAACATCCTCTTTGGTAATATGTTGTTTTTTTCATGATGTGCTAACTCTGTATTTCCCACACTAAACCACTTCAAAATTTCAATGATTACTATGAAAATTTGGGCTCCTGGATGATAAATGAAAAAGAATCCTCAAAGTTGACAGTTTGGCACTTGCAATCAGATGTATCTTCTTTCAAATTCTTATAGCCTCTTCTACAAATATTGGCTCAGGAAGTGAGCACAGTTGATGGCAGATGGTGCATAAGATCAGGATCTGCTCAGCGAATGGGCTTTGAGGGGCTTCTGTTGTCAAGGTATTTGAACTATTTCAGTTATCTTTTTTTTTTGCCCATGTAAATAATTCTTTACTCATGTACCTTTCTTACCTTTTATTCCTGCATTTGAAGCTTGAAACAATTCAGAGCAATAGTATGTGATTTCAAGATCAAGTAACATAATACTAGCATAGTATGTTTCCAATAAAATGCATTTAATATGAATGGGATATTTAGTTTCAAATGCAACGATAAGAAGGAATACACTATTTTCTTATGTGGTTTGTGAGACAATTGTGCCTCTTTTAGTTTACAATGACGTAATTATTTATGCATAATGTTGAGACTGGTAGTTTATTGTAGCGGTTCAGGTATGGGAAGTATTATCGAACCTCTCCCAGCTGTTGCATTAAATGATGAGTTGCAACAAGCAAGGGCATCTGTGGCTAAGGCTGAGGCTGATGTTCTCTTTAAGATAACAAAGAAGGTTCCCCCTATCTTGCAGTGTCATTTGTTTCTCTCTTTTTTTTTTTATTTTTATTTTTATAAATATTTTGTAATGGGTTTCTGACCAAGTCTCTTTCTATTTATTTTCTTGTGGACTGTAGATGCAAGAAGATCTTCATGACATCGAAAATGTTTTCAGTATCATAGTTGGAATAGATGCTGTAGGTATCCCATATAAAAGCACCAAACTTTTGCATGCAATTAGTTGTTTCCTCCATGTTTCCCCACTAACATATTGATCTGTACTAAAATTGTATGACCTAATTGACCTTGAAGCTTGATTGTTTTTGGGCTTCTGGTATGTCTCTGCCTTTCCAGTTTCCATGCAGCACATTTTGTTAATTTAGTTTTATATTATTCCATTGATTAGTTAAGGATACCACTAACATTCATTTTGACTAATATATATATATAGATTAATGCTCGAGCACAGTATAGCCTGTCACTTGGAGGTGCATATCCTGATTTATTTTTGCCACAAGACAAGGGCACCTCTGTTGCTGCTGATGCAATGCTGGAGGATGGAACTTCCATTACATCTCAGGGAAAATGGACTTTGTATCTACCAAAAGCCTATCATCCCTTACTCCTTCAAAAGCATCGGCAGAACCTTCAAAAGGCAATGAAAGATGTCCGAAATGCCACTGCTGTAAGCCTTTCCTTCCATCTGTTTTCACTCTCAGGTGCATTTGATAGAAAGGAAAGCACTTCATTAGTTTGAATGTGGAATATTTTCACTAAGCTGTTTATTTTATATCCTTTGGAACAATTTCAACATTATCTGGTGCACAAGTTGTTGGGTAATCACTTCGAGAATATCTGCAGATTTTAATGGCTCTTAGTTTCAAAACATGCCAACTGCTAATGCTCACAAATGATGCTAACACTGTATCTACATGGATTCTTTTCAATTGTGTGGATCATCTTTTATGTTCATTGATTGAATCACTGGGCAGGTTGGAAGAATAACTAGGACTATTGGGAATGTTTCTTTTGTAACTTTGGGTCATTGTAATTTTCAATTATTCTATTTTTAATAATACTTATAGCAATTTGAATTGTCTAGGCAGGTTAAGCTTGCCAACCAAGCACAATATATATGTACGTCGACACAGTTTTGATTGTGTATATCTGAGAACTGCTATGGTTCAACTGTTTTTTCTTTTAAGAAAATCTCCCAATAATCAATTGATCTTTCTATGCCTAGGAAATCAGGAGGAGGAAACAGCAAGGGCGAGTTACTCGTGAAGAATCAAATTTGGACATATCATCCTTGGAGATGGAGGTGGCTGTTTAGCATTAAGAATTGATTCTATTTTGCATGTATAAGTTCCTTAGAAATATAAATGGTGCAGGTTATTCCTGTTTATGCAGGTTGCTAAAGTTAAACAAGCTCCCCCGGTTCCTGTTGACATATTTATAGCCCAAAATACTAAAGTTCTGGTCATTACTGGCCCCAATACTGGAGGAAAAACCATTTGCTTGAAGACTCTTGGGTTGGCTGCTGTGATGGCAAAGTCGGGTGAGGAGAACTTTTGTATTCTTTTGCTTTATTTACTAAGTAAACAAGGGAAATTCAAGACAGTTTCTTTGAGATCTTGACATGGTTGTTGGATGAAATACATTACAATATGCTATTAAGTGTTGAAACCTTGTCATAGATACAAGTTAGAATTAAAGGACCTATAATTTTGGTCATTCTGTTGTTTGCTTTGGATGAAGAATTTTTGGAGGAGAATAATGTTTTAAAAACACATGAAGTACTTTTGCTTTGGCTATTATCTCTCTTTTATTATTGGTCATGGTAGAATTTTTCTATAGCAAATGAAAAATACAAATCATTAGCAGTACAATTTTTTAAAATTTTGTATTTTAATAATTTTATACTGTATACCTTCTTGATAAAACATATCAAACTACACAATCAAAATGATGTGAATTTTTTCTTGACAGATATAAGGTAACAGAATTGTGTTCTAATTCATCATATAGGATTCTGATCCAGGAAAATACCAAAGTGTTTCAAAGGTGGGGTTATCTTGATGTATGCTTGCATGTACCTATGTGTCTCCAAGTTAAATGACTCTGTTTGAAGTTGCATGTTTCATACAAGAGAAGCATATGCATGAATAGTGATTAGTTTTAGTTCCCCATCTAGCTTTTCAGAGTTAGGGGTTAAGTCCTTACAGATTAGCTGATTCTTTTATTGAGGAATAGTATAAACAGGCAGAGTACACACGAAAACTATAAATGCTAGATGTTTCTCTGTTTTGTTTCAGCAGAAACCTTTAGATATTTGACCTTACTGTTATGCTGCAGGCCTTTATGTGCTATCTTCTGAACCAGTGAAGATCCCTTGGTTTGACTATGTGTTGGCTGATATTGGTGATGAACAATCCTTATCTCAGTCTTTGTCTACTTTTTCTGGCCATCTAAAACAAATTAGTGTAGGTTTTCATATATTTTCTTCAATTACAATTATCAGTTTTACTGCATACAGCTTGCCTTTCTCTAATATATACACATCTATTTTTTTTTTTCTATATCTTGCAGAAAATCCAGTCTTGTTCAACAAATATGTCCCTTGTGCTATTAGATGAAGTATGTGCTGGCAGTTCATTTACATTCTCTAGATTATTTTTTTGTCAGTAATTTTGTAGAAAAGCATTGAGCTGTTAATTGTGATAAAGATCATAATGCTATTTTTATGTGTTCTAGGTTGGTGCAGGGACAAATCCTTTGGAGGGAGCAGCGTTGGGGATGTCATTGCTAGAATCTTTTGCAGAAGCTGGTACTTTGCTGACAATAGCTACAACACATCATGGAGAACTCAAGACCCTTAAATACAGGTATTAGATTTTTCAGAAGAAATATTCGTATGTATAAAAGATTTCCTTTCTAATGGTGTATGTCCATGTGCTGTTGACATTATTGGCAGTAATAAGGCCTTTGAAAATGCATGTATGGAATTTGATGAAGTGAAACTGAAGCCAACTTATAAGATTCTTTGGGGAGTTCCAGGTTATTTTTGTAATGATAGTTTCTTTCACACCCTGAATTCTTCTGTTCAATTATTCATATCCCCTCTGTTTTATAGAGTCAGTGGGTCTTGTATATTATCTCTTTCAATGTCTCACTTATTGACCTTCTAAGGTAGTTCTCTTTTTAGCTTGTTGCTTCCGCTAATATGCCACTGGACCTTTCGTAGTTGTCCCGCCTTTGGCTGAAGCATTCTTTTGTACTCCATAACTAGTAATTTACCCATGTGATGCACGGAAGTTATGCCATCTAAATACTGTCATGTAGCAAAAACTAATGAAGCATATCTGACTGCAGGACGTTCAAATGCAATCAATATTGCTGAAAGGCTTGGAATTCCAAAGGTGATTCTGGATAATGCTCGTGAACTTTATGGAGTAGCAAATGCAGAAATTAATGAGGTAATTGCATACAATAACATATATTTGTGTACTTGGGACTAGTGACAAGTGGAAGAGAGTATATATCCAGATTGCCTTTTTAGTTATGGAGATGAATATTTGTACACAATTAGTTGCCAGATTGTGCATAGGTTGTTTTAATTTATCATGTGTTGCTTGGGTCAATTAGTTTGTATTGTGAGTTTCTTGATCAATTGCCCAGTTTTTAGGATAAAGAGACTACACTCTACTAGTTCATATGTGTGCATTTTACACTTGTTTGTCTATTATTTTATATATATATTTCTGAAATGTGGATGCAGGTTATACTTGATATGGAGAGATTTAAGCAGAAATTTCATGAGCAAATTCACGAGGCTCAACATTACTTGAAGTAAGTTGCTACTGATACTTAGACTTGGACATATCATAAACTAACTGAGTTATTAGAGTATTAATTAATTTGTTGATTTGGTTCAGGGTCTCAAGAGAACTTCATCAGAAGTTACTTGTCACCAGAAAGAGAATCACTGAGCATGGCATTGAACAAAGATACAGGAAGATAGAAGAAATGTCTCGGGTAGCAGCAGCAGCGCGCTCTGCACTTCACAGGAGAGCACGACAATTTCGTGCATCTCCTAGGCAACCTTCTGAAACAAATTCAAACAACGGACAGTACACTTCAGCATTGGAAAGTGACAATACTAACAAGACATTGGAAATCGAAACATGTGAAGCTACCACCATGGCTGAGAGCGCAGTCAACAACTTAAAGCCACGTGTTTCAGGTAATGTCTTCATCAAATTCAAATGAATGGTATTCTTTCGCCTTTGGCTAAGTGGCAATTGCTTGCTTGATGTGTACAGCGCAAAAGAGGGCTGGACTTCCCAACGTGGGTGATGCAGTGCATATTGTTTCCCTAGGCAGGAAAGCTCTTGTCCTAAAAGTGGATTCTTCTCGAGATGAAGTCGTAGTTCAAGCCGGTAACCTGAAGCTTAAATTGAAAGCATCAGATGTAACTTAACAGCTAGGTGTTCATCATCCCTTGAGCTCAGATGTATTTCGTGGCTTGCCAATAGCTATTAATACTAGTGCAGTGCATGACTTTCTGCCTCGGCATAAAGTACCTTCCTCAATTGTATTTCCCACGTATATATTTGATGCGATATATATATCGTATATGTCTATATTTATTTGGCATGCTCGCTGAACTTTATACCTAGCTGGCTTAAAGTACTTTTGCTTCATGTGGTAGGAGGAAAACAAAGTCGAATAAAACTGTCTAATGTTAAATAATGTAGAGACAGATGAAGGCAGGTAAGTTCCGAAGTGACGGCGTAAAGGCATCTCGAATAAATAATGCTGTCATTACTCGGAATACAATGTCATGATGCTACTTCAATCAAGGCATCCTCAATAGTTGAGAATTTTTCCTCATTTTTTGTGGGATCTAACATTCACCTAACTATTCATTATCTCACTCAATTACAAAAAAAAAAAAAAAAAAATTCTCATTAATTTTAAATTTTTTCACAATTTTTTGTGGACACACCATACCATTTTATCTCCAAACTTAATTAAAATAATCATACGTACTCCAAACTTAATTAAAATAAACATACTACGTATGAACCCCAATTGGTAGGTCCACAATCTGTCATTTTATCTCCACTTTCTGACAAAATCTTTGTTTCTTGCATGAGAAAGGAACTTCAAAATCAGAAAATCTGCCATTTCCATTTGTCAAAAATTGAGCAGCCAAACTTTACTATTTCAAAAGTTAGGTATGAACCCCTTATTGGGGTTGCTTTAAGGATTGATGAAGGGGAGGAATCACTTTCCTTCTTATATACCATTGAGCTGTTGTACGTAATTTCGTATTCCTTTTTTTTTTTCTTTCTATTTTTCATATGACAGAGTATCGACTTCCTCGCCGATGGATGAGCAACCACCGCAAACAGGTAAGTGGAGCCTGATACGTTCATAAGTATTTAAAGCTTCCGATCAACTTCATTAATTGCAGTTTCAATACGCAAATTTTTATAGATTCCGATGAACTGCATTAAATGCAGTATCAATTTCTTGTCTGATATGTAATATATTCTCACCGCCATTGTACGTAATAACAGTATAATACATAAATTACCGAAAAGAAATTAGAAATTTAGAAATAGTAAACAACTATGGGGAATCCGAAAGAAACCTGTCTTATGATAACATAGATTAATTAAATAATAAGACTGGATTCAACTAAGATTGAATCCCACGGCGTTTTTCATAAAATCCTACAGCCACCGGTAGACTTAAAAAGTGAGTTACAGTAGTATGTTAAATTGAAGCATGTGCTCCATTTCAATTAAAAGCTTAAGTTGATAGTTGGATTGCGTTTATATATTTTATGCTCAACAGGCCATTTAGCATTACACCAATGAATCTATAGTTACAACTTGTTCTCCACATCCTCGTCATTTGTTGTAGAAGGCACGAACCGAAACTCCACCGTAACGTCCAGAAAGTAAAGCATGAAGACCAGGACGATGCAACATAAGAACATAGGAATAGGTCCAAAGATCCACAAAAAGAGGGGAAAAGAAAAGTAAAATGCCCTGAGCCCCAGAGACCAAAAATAGCTCCCTCTATTCACGGTCCTCCCTACGTACTCCGACGTCACCACACACCGGTACTGGTTAGCCGGAGCTTCCCATCCCTCCATTATTTTCCGGTAAGGAACGTTAACCAGGATGCTGGCGTGACTGTAGTACCTTATTGACTGAACGTTGAACAGAAACGCCACCAGGAAACAAACCAGTATCGAGAAGAACTTTATGCATGCGCTTAGACTGCTGTTGTCGCCGAACACAAACGTCATGGAGCGGTCGTTGTTAAAGCCCGTCATCAAGACGGCGATGAGGGAGCTCAGCATTATCGCCGTCGACGCTAAAAGCGTCGACGCCATTATATTGTTTCTGAAAGTCTGAACTGCTAGAACCCCATTCTTCGACACATCCTATATATATATATATATATATAGAGGATCAAATATAATGAAAGAAACTCTAATGAATGGTAATAAGGAGAAGAAAGGGGCAAACCTCCATCATTGCGCGGACCCAGAAACGGCGGTTGATTGCATTGACGCCGATGACAGTGCGGTTGGGGTTATTCCTAATCTGCCACAGAAGCCATAGGTGATAAGACACCATAACTAAAAGCCCCGACGGGACTAACACGTAATCAAGAACCCGTTTTTCCATACTCCCTTTTCTTCTTACACAAACACACAAGAAAAAGAAATTAAATGCTATACGGAAGATCAGATCAGATGGAAATTTCCAGGAGATGATATGATACTATGATAGCGGTGTAAACAAAAGAGTCCGATAGTTACACGGGTCTGCGTGATACTACTGTGGTTGTTAAATAGATAATAAATGGCAGCCTTAAATGAATTCCGCATTTCCACAACTTGTTTATGCTGAAATCTTAAAATAAGGAGTTTGCTTTAATGCTTTATACTGATTCATAGTAATACGCTATAAATTGTATCCATTTCTAATTTTTCTTTTCAAAATTATTGATCTAATTTTATATAGAATATTATATTTTCAAAAGTTAATTAAAATTAGAATCATAATTAAATGGAATAATAAAGTTAAGTTTTACTTTATCTAAATTCATGTGCTACTGTAGACCAATTGTAGTGAATTGCTGAGTAGAAGTCATGGATCCCATTACCTTTGTTGGGTGGGTGGTAAGTTGGCCGCTGGCAACAAGTTCAATGCTTTTTTTTTTCCAAGTGTATCCAAGGTTTTCACAGTCGGACATAGTGACTAATTCCGCTGCTGAGAATTGTAGGCAGGCTTGTAGCTTTTAGATGGGACAGCTAGCCCCTTTATTAGAAAAACTGTAAGCACCGTTATTAGGTAAGACGGCTAATCTAGAAATTTAAAATTGCTCTATACCTAAAGACAATAATTGAATCTTTGAGCATTTAATTAAGGATGGATGAATCATTGCCACTCAATCACACCCAGACTAGAACAAGTTCAATGTTGAAACAAACACACCATTTCTACATGTTTATTATTTAAAGATGGAATACTTTTTTCTTCTTACTTTAGTTAATATTTTATTAAGGAGCAAAGAGTAATTTTAATACTCCAATCCGTATTGATATTTTTATTTAGACTTATTGGTGAAAAAAGGTTTGGTATTAAATAACATTTCACTAACACTTTTTATATTGTTTAATATAAAAATGAAATGAAATTGCAAACCATTTGAACCAATTCTCATAGCCCTCATAGTCGTTTATTCAATTCTGAGCCCATATACTCTTATCTTTGAGTGTTTGGGTGCCTGTTTTCTGTATCTACGGTCATATAATAAGCATAAGTTTGCTTATCGGTCAGCTCCGTGCATTTTCTTGAGCTATCCCTCTTCGTTTCGTGGTTACTGGTGCATAGACTTCGATACAGGTAAATTGTTTATATGCCATCGTGTTTGTTTTGATGAGGGTGTTTTTCCCTTTGCCAGGCGGCCAGGCCTTCTCATTTGCAGGTTGCTTCTTCTGACAGTGTTGTTCCTTGGGGTGTTAGCCGGTTGGTGCCTGGGTCGTCTGATGCGCCGATGATGCCTCCTTTGTTGCCTTTGCCTCCTTTGCCGTCTCTAGGTGGTGGTTCTTCGGGTTCGTCTGTGCCGGTTGTCGCCCCTAGACGCGGGCGTCGCAAGGCGGGTCCGTCGCCGCCTCGGTCTCATCCGATGTTACTTCAACATATGGAACATAATTCGCCGCTCCAGGCCCTGTTGGTGGGTGATCCTTCGTGTTATTCTCATGCCGTTTTGCATCCTGAGTGGCGGACCGCAATGGACGAGGAATTTAATGCGCTACTTCACAATCAAATTTGGCAGCTTGTCCTGGCCAAGTCCGGTATGAATGTAGTTGGCTGCAAGTGGGTCTTCCGGACCAAGCGCAAGGCGGATGGGTCCATTGAAAGGTATAAGGCCTGACTAGTTGCTAAAGGCTTTAATCAGATAGCAGGGGAGGATTTCTTCGACACCTTCAGCCCGGTGGTCAAGCCCACCACGGTTCGCCTATTGCTCTTTGGCGTTGTCTCGTGGATGGTTTCTTTGGAAGCTAGATGCTCACAACGCTTTCTTAAATGGGCATTTGGCTGAGCTGGTTTACCTGAAGCAGCCACCTGGCTATGTTGACCCGAGTTACCCAGATCACGTTTGTTTGTTGTAGCGATCTTTTTATGGTTTGAAGCAGGCTCTGCGGGCTTGGTTCAAGCGCTTACATGATTTTCTTCTCTTTGTGGGGTTCAAGGCCTCTAAGACTGATGTATCGTTATTTTATTATTTTGTTGCAGGGCACAAGTGTTTTTGCTTGTCTATGTTGACGATATTCTGCTCATGGGCAGTGATTCAGCTCTATTGTTTGATTTGTTGAAGCGTCTTGCAACAACCTTCAAGATTCGAGATCTCGGGACATCGAGTTTCTTTCTCGGAATTGAGACGGTTCCGCTAGATGGGGGCTTTATTCTTTCTCAACACAGGTACATGGCGGATATTCTTAAGCGGGCTGGTATGGAGGATTGTAAGCCTCTTGTTACGCCTGTTTCGGCGGCCCTTTTCTGGTGAGTCTTCTGATGATCCGTTTGACAATCCTACTCAATATAGGCGTTTGGCGGGTGCCCTCCAGTATTTGACTGTTACGCGCCCCGACTTGTCTTATGCCTTTAACTGCCTTTATCAGTACATGCACTCTCCCTCTGTGGCGCACCCGCACTGGGTGCTTCTTAAAATGGTTTTGCAGTATGTTAAAGGCACTACTTAGTTTGGGCTGCGTCTTTGAGCTTCACCGTTGATGTCGTTGCATGCTTATTCCGATTCGGACTGGGCTAGTGATTTGGTGGATCACAAGTCCACTTGTGGCTTTGCGGTCTATCTTGGTTGTAATCTGGTTTCGTGGGTCGCAAGCAACGCACAGTTGCTCGTTCGTCTACTAAGGCGAAATATAAAGGTCTGGCTAATGTTGCTGCTGAAGTTACTTGGGTTGTGTCCCTTCTGAATGAGATTGGCTTACCCTTGCCTGGTCCTCTGTCGCTGTGGTGTGATAAATTGGGTGCGACCTACCTCTGTGCCAACCCAATCTTTCATGCTAGCACGAAGCATGTTGAGGTCAATTATCATTTTGTTCGTGACAAGGTAGCCTCGGGTAATCTCCAGGTTCATTTTGTGTCTACACAAATCAGATTGTTGACACCTTCAGTAAACCGTTGTCTACTAAGCAGTATGAGTCGTGTGACAAGCTTAATGTTGTGTCTATACCACCTTAAGCTTGCTGGGGCGTAATAGGACTCCCGTAGTTCAGTATCACTAGGACTCTATCTGTCAGTTAGAACCTCTGTATTTGTATATACTTCTACGGCATTACTGTTATTGAATACAATCCATTCACTCATCCTCTTGATACAAGAATAGAACCAGACGTATAAAAGACAGAGGGTACAATAATGTTAAAAGGACACAAGAGAATAGAGCATTCTTTTAATGTTCTGAAGAGCCTGCTACAAAGTCTATCTACGACAACCATCCCAACAACAACAAAAAACCAACTATGAAAGGGCAAACAATCCCCACAATTCAGATATAGAAGCTACTCAAGAACAAAATTTTGCATCCCCAAGCAAATACTAACTTCAAGAGGACAAGTTGCTGTATGAAATTTGATATAGCATGAAGAAAATGGAAAATTTCAGTTGTGCTTCTGCAGAAATCACTTAGTAGTCTGCTCTGATTCTTGACAAGGAGCCAATTAGTTTGTAAAGTTGACCAAACCCTGCAGAATTTTGAGCGAAAAGATTAAGAAAACAAAACGATGTTTATTGTAAAGACTTTCCATTTAAATATGGAACAAAGATATAGGTCTTGTTTAGTAAAGAGCAACTTTAAGATTCACAAATACAGATAAAAATGGGTTAGATCAATGGCCAGCAAGATCATAGCTTTAAATCCTTTAATCATTTCCTTAGAGTTTAACATATTATTTTATTTTTTAGCACAAGAGAAGAGAGAGACACCAGTTCAATCTTCATTACCTAGTGAACAACCATCAAGGTTCAATTTATAGTAATGCAGATTTAAGTTTAAAGCCAGTAACAACATCTAAAGAGACTAAAGCAATGGACATTAACTTTTGAGAATAAGTGCTTACCTTCACAATGAATTAGTTTCGCCAAAATGCTACTTCTTCTTATTGAACCCAAATGCCAAAAGCCTCCGGTGAGATGGCTTAAGTTCAGCTAGACGCATCTTTCTCCTTTTTTTCCTTGATAGAGTGCTTGTATCGCCATTTGATCCCTCCAAATGTGGTTTCTCATTTTCCGTATAATTTGCCACTATTGTAGTTTCCTGATCTCTTGGCCTCTTTTTCTCATTCTTCCTGTTGTCTAGTGTCTTCCCCTGAATTAATTCTTTAATTTTCTGCTTTTGCTGGTGTCTCTTAGCTCGGGGCACCTTCCAATCCTTGTCTCGATATGCTGCCAACGTCTTTAGAGGTACATATTGATTCAACTCCTTGTCATCCAACATTAACATCTCCTCAGTACTCAAGCCGAATCTTTTAGCATTGACAGGTTTATACTTAAACCTAGTCTTTAAGTCACCTATCACATCCTCGTAATCTAACTTATAATATTCCTCCATTAATTGATCCTTAACTGCCTGCATGACAACACTAGTCTTCCTTCGCTTCTTTTTCCGCTTACCTTCTTTGGACACCCCATCTTCTTCATCTACTTGATCATCTACTGTTTCGTGCTCTTCGCCTGTATTTTCCTGGCTTTTCAAAATTCTTTCCCTAATTGATAAAAACCCATCACGTGGCTGATTCGTCTCATCCCATCCCTTTGGAAGCCCAAGTAACTCATCCTCCTTGTCAAAATCAGGCTTTTCAAGATCACCTTCATCTGCATCCTCATCACTATCACTCCCAAAGTCAGGGTTCACATCTTCTGCCTCATAGTAAGCCTCTCCAAATGCATTCTTCATCTTCTTATCATACTCCTCTGGATTGAATTCCTCTTCCAAATCATCCTCATCTAACAAGCAATCCCCATCCTCTCCAATCCCTGCAATCTCCTTAATCTTCTGAAGCTTCTCCCTCATCTCCTTCTTCTTCAAATTCTTCAGTCGCTTCAACTCCTCCTTCCTCTCCTCCTCTTCCCTTGCCATCCTCTCTTCCTTCCTCTCCCTCTGCAATTTCCTTGCATTGGTTTTCTTCCTTACCGAACCCTCTACTTTCCTTGCATGTCCCAATACCCTATCACCAGCATTCTCTTCAAACCTGAAATTGAAATCCCTCTCAAAATCCTCCTGC